TTATTACACACACATGGACGCGCAGCAGCACACAAACATTTTTAAATATGAAAAATTACATTCCGCCATGTAAATAGCGAACCCGCCATGGCGCGAGCGCAACTGGCTTTTAAAGAGGATGGGAGATGAGACTCTGATTGGTTTATTGCACGTTACGCCCAAAAAACACCCATTACTCATTAAGAGAATAGGGACAACCCGTTTAGGCCATGCGTCCGGGCGCACCGACCGCTTTCCCGTCGTTAAACTAGCAAAAGTGGATTCGGACACGCCCTGAATGCACCTGCGCTGTGCGCTTTAGACCATGCGCTAAGATCGTTAAAATAGGGCCCGGAGTGTTAGGTGTGCCACAATTTTTGTTTTACTGTGGTCCACCAGCTGAAAACATTTGAAAACCACTGTGATAAAGGATGGAGGAAGTCCTAACTATGTTTTATGCCATTTCTAGCTGGTCATAAATCGGTCACAAGCTGATGCCAGCTGGTCATCAGCTGGTTTACTACCGACCATGATCTAAGAATCAACATGACCACTTTGACAGTGGAAATGAGCAGCTTGGACCAGCAAATTACCAGTTTAGACCAGTTAGAAACCACCTAAAACATATTCACTTCTTTCTCCATCCTTCATCACAGTGGTTCTCAAACTCTGAAACTTCAGTTGGTGGACAGCAGTAAAACAGAAATTGTGGACCACACATCACTCCAGGTCTGGGCATAAACAACAGCTACCTAAATTATTAAGTAGCATATCAATTATTTTCAGTTTGTAGTCTTGAAACTTGAGGCTGTATTGAAACTTTTAGCGACCCATAATTTTGCCACTGTTCATATTTCATTGAACCGAATTGAAGGCTATAGAAGTCAGATGACAGAACTGCTAGCATGTCCCAAAACACAGCTGCCAGTTTTAAGTGGATTTTCCAGCAGGGAGCTGACAGAGAAGAAGAATGAAAAGGAAAAAAACAACAACAAGGACATATCAGAGGAAAAAGGGAGATGGGGAAAGGGGGAGGGGCCAGGAAGGAGCTAACAGATTAGTGTACATGTTAAAGCAGACACATCGGCTGACTGGTCAAGATAACACATTCACTCCACACGTCAAACGTGAGGAAAGAGAGAGATAGCGCCAGAGAGGGGTTAATAAAGTCCGCAAGTGTTCCCCTGTGAGAAAAACAGGCCCGGAAAAAAAGTGGACAGTGATGGAGAGAGAGAGCGAGAACGATGGCTGGTGCAGGAGAGGCGGAACTGCAGGAATGAAAGATGCAGAGCCAAACAAACGGACACTGATGGAGAGAGAACTAAACACGGGAGGGGTTTGGTATTAGAAAGGTTAACGTATTGATCTGCTTGCAAAGAAAAACGACTGTTTGGAAGCAGTATATCTGGGGAGGGAGTTTGATCTACAAACTCTGGGTTGGCAGAACCAGGAGGATCGGCGTTCTGCCCCGTTGCTAAGCTTTCATTTCATCTTGTCTCATAGACTTTTCCACACCATCACCACCTCCTAAAGAGAGATGGGTAGGGTTGCACCAGCCCATCCCAGAGTCTTAACTGTGTACTTAATTTGGTTGCATCATTTCTTCTTAAAGCAAGAGCAGCTAGTAATTTGCAAGCTGTCCATGCAGGAATGTGCAGTTGCATAATATGACATTTACTTTTATCTATCTAGTAAGCTTTCAATTTTGTAAATCAAAGTAGTCTTGAATTTCATTTTCTTTTTCCAAACATGTTTTTTTTTTGCCTTATAACTGTTTGACAATGATAAATTACATGTTCCTTAAGTTTTAAAAATATACAAAGACATGACATACAATAAATACAAAATATTTATTACATAATGCATACTGAAATATATTAAATAAATATTCAAGAAATACCGTATATTAAACAGCAAAACTTATTATATTAGGTACTTTTTCGTGATATGTTTTTTTAGTAAGATCTAAGTTAAAAGTCTCACAGAAAAGTCTGTGCTCACCAAGGCTGTATTTACTTGATCAAAAATACAGTAATACTGTGAAATATTATTTCAAAAAGTCATTTATTCCTGTGATGACCAAGCTGAATTTTTTCAGCAGCCATTACTTCAGTCTTCAGTGTCACGTGATCCTTCAGAAATCATTCTGATATGCTGATTTGGTGCTCAAGAAACATTTTTATCAATGTTGAAATCAGTTGTGCTGCTTAATATTTTGTGGACACTATGAAATTAAAAAAACAACAGAATTTATTTGAAATAGAAATCTTTTTTAATAAGTTAAGTTTTTACAGTGACTTACGGTGATCAATTTAATGTGTCCTTGCTTAAAAGGGCAGTTAACCCATTAATGAAAATTGTGTCATAATTTAGTCACAGAGAGTTTCATTCTTCTGCTGAACCCATAAGAAGATATTTTGAAGAATTATCAGTTGAAGGTAGCAACTGACTTCCCTATTTTTTTTCCATACTAACAATGGCTACCAGCAACTGTTTGGTTCCCCACATTAATATTAAAATATGTTCTTTTGAGTTCATCAGAAGAAAGAAAATCATACAGGTTTCAAACAAGTGGAGGGTGAATAAATGATGACAGAATTTGTATTTCATGCTGAACTATCCCTTGATTAAAAGTATTTTAAAAATCCTACTGTCCCTGCACTTTTGAACATTTTTCCTGTGCAACACATATTTAGTAGTGAGTCAGTATTTTAGCGCTCCTTTAAGCTACAATTAGGCTAAGTTGAAGCTTACGCATGGAACACATCTTTGGTTTTATTCCATCAGCAAATATAAGCATTCACACGATTTCATTCTGGCTGTGACTTAACACCCTGCAGTAGGGGAGGAATCAAACGCAAGAGTCACTTTTGGGTTTTATCCTGAGCGTGCTAATAAATATGCTCTAATATAAAATAGAGAGTGGCGAAATGTCTTCGGATAAAGCTGCAAATCCAAATCGAAATGTTCAATCCTGCTTTACAAGTAAGTGGTAACTGACCGTGGCTTATACAGAGACCCAGGGATAAAAATGGTCTGTTTCACCTTGTTACACTATGCTTGACAGCATGACTACCCTTCAGCTGTAGTGCACATATGGGCCATACTGTGAGTACAGAAGAGTTTAAAGAGCCTAAGGCAGTTTCCCACTAATTAATACTATGGTTAACTGCCCGTCCTGCTCAGCTATGCATGTCACTATTTTGCAATGCATTCAGCAAAACAACATCATGAACCCTGTTTCCCTTAGCTACATTAGTGCTTTCCAGCTTTTGATCACCAGGTATAGGTGTCAGATGTTTTCTTTAGCAGACGGTTTGTATGTCTTTGACTTGAATTGCTCACTTTGCTTACATAAGTGAGAGTCAGACTATCATTCACACAATCGATTTGAAATCATGTATTATATTGCAGTCCCTTATAAAGTTACCAGCCACTGACATGTTTTTTATGCCATTTTTATTTGCATTTGGTGCTTGCTGAGTGATAATTTTCCACTAGCGTTGCACTGCTTGGAAATTTGGTATAGTATCACTATTTATATTACGTTCTTCCTTGGACAAATTGCTTGTGTTGTAAGTTGCTTTTGGCTAAAAGCCTCTGCTAAGTGAATAAATTTTAAATGTAAATGTAATTTTGGACATTGCTTCTAACATATCTCTCATGATTCAAAATGCAGGATTCAATCCAGCACCGCCCTAATAACTAATGACTGACATTTAGTCATTATGTCAAAACCTGTTAATGTAAGCAAATGTCCAGAATTCAAATGGTTGTATTTATTAGAATAAACATATGCAAAACATCTTGAAAGCATTGTAACATTCAACATTCAGCAGGGTTTTGGTTTTGGCATGATTTCACAAATGAAAACGTGTAAAAGAAATTGTTTAAAAGGAAAAAGCATCTTTTGTTAAAGGGATAGTTCACCAAAAAATGAAAATTCTATCATAATTTATTCACCTTCTTGTCGTTCCAAACCTGTATAACTTTTACTTCAGCAGAAGACAAAAACTGTTTTTTAAAGAATATTTTGTCTTTGTCCATACAAATAAGATTAACTCCCACTGACTTTCATTATATGGACAAAAAAGCAAGGAGACATTATTCATGTTTTTCCATTGGTATCCACTGAAGAAATGAAGACAAACAGGTTTGTAAATGATTCAAACCTTTTCATTTTTGGATGAACTATCCCTTTAAGAAATAAAGATAATGAATAGCTTTAACTGGCAGCCTCCACCATTTGGGTGATTGTTGGGTATTTGGAGACCCTAGGAAGGATAGCCTACGCAGTTTCATTTCTTCTCCTTCTTTCACAAGGATCTTAGAGCCATTTCAGTTACCTGCGGTTGTGCCATTTCATATTAAAGAGAATGCAAGTCCAATTCCATTTCAATCACTGGGCACTTGGGAATTTAAACAATAATGACTAAATCTGTAAACAGGACAGTCTCACTCTGAACACAGCATCCAGCCAGAACACCTGTGGTGGGCATGGCGTGAATACAAATAAAAACGACCAGGCGCAATTACATGAACGAGCAGCTTTTACCAGTGAGGCTCTTTCCTGGTCTCATGACTCAGTGAGGTGGGCAGATGATGAAAATTACCCTTTTAGGCCATTTGTCAGGTGCAAGTCAATATTTTGGCTAGAAGTCAGACATAAATCATAGCAATTCATGCTTTGAATAGGCTTTAAAGTGATAGTTCAGCCAAAAATGAAAATTCTGTCATCATTTATGACTCGCCCTCCTGTCATTCCAAACCTGTAAGAGACTTCAGAAGACTTAGAATATAAGTCATATGGACCACTTTCATGATGCCTTTGTGCCCTTTTTGTAGTTTTAAAGCTCTATTCATTGCTACTGCATGGACAAGAGAGCTACTGGCACGATGCCTCCTTTTGTGTTCAAAATAAGTCGTCAAACTGGTTCGAAACAACATGAAGTGTGTAAATGATGACAGAATGCTAATTTTTGGACCAACCATCCTTTCACCAGGTTGTGGTGTGCTCTTACCTGTGTTCAGCTGTCTGTTCGGTCCTCTCATCATGTAGCTGAACTCTTGACAGCTGGCACTCTGGCTCAGGCCTCCAGACCGGAAGCACAGCTCCTCCACCAGCACCAACGCCTTCTTACAAAGGTCGTCTTCCCAGTCCCCCGACATCCTCCAATCCGCATCGCACACCCACCCCACACTCAACCAATCGCGCCGCAGCTCTCACCGCCCGCACCAACTGGATGGCGCCTGAGCGGAGAGGGTGTCTCTGTCCACTTTCTGCCGATTCCAATAACACAGGGTCTCGTTTTGGATTGTGAAGGACAAGGTTTCGACAAGCAGCCGAGACGGTCTCTTTATGACCGTTAATTGAAAGCTTTAATGGTTGCTAAACCCATTGGTAAGTGTGTCACAATCACTCTTTTCAATAATAACATAGGCTCCTGGGGGGGAAAAAACAGGAGAGAGGGAAAAAAGAATAAATGAGAGCAAGGGAGGAGAAGACAATGCATGCATTTATGATGTTAAATCCATTATTGAATTGAATGTGCTTCGCTCGCGAGATGTTTTTGTGCACATACTTGTTATAAAGGATGACAATGACATCCCTGAGTCCTTGTCATGGTGAAGAAGGTTGAAACCAATTCAATTCACATAAACGTTAAGAATTTGCTCAATGGATAAACAGCGAGACTATATTTAGGTCTGTTGTTCAGAAAGCATAGCCTAGATTTCGTGGGCTATTACTCTCAGTTAAATCATCAGTCAGGGAAGAGGAAAGTGTTTGCAGGCTCAGTCCTTAAAGCAGCATCAGGGCAGGGTTGAATTTGAGATGTATGGTCTATTTCCACTAGGTTTCTCTCTTTGTTTTTTCCATTCAAGCTTTACTGTTCATTGTGGTCCATGGCTGTATTTCTGGAATGTTCTACAGGAGCTCTGAAACTGCCTGAAAAGAGAGGAAGAGAGGGAGAGTGTGTGTGAGAGAGAGAAAATGAGGCACACATTAAAAAAACTGCTGTAAAATTATGGTTAAATTATAAAGGCAACCCGCTGAGCTCACAGAGCTCAATAGCATGCAGAGAAGAACCAATCATTCTGGATATCTCTTTCTTCTCAAAGACAAACAGCTCTCCTTGTACAGTGCATCTCGGGAACGAGGATGTGGTCAACCACAAAACAAGTTTATCTTGTAAGCTGTTGTTGCATGATACTGTGAAGATTAAAGGTGACGTAATTTCGATGCTAAACTTGTAATGTTAATTTGAGCTGCCCGACACTTTTGCTCAACCAATGGTGTGAGGTTTGGGTGGGGCTATATGTTTGATCAATAATTACGGTAGTCTCTTTTTCTTTCTTTTTTTGCAATTCTATTTGGTATCTTTAAAGCTGAAGTCTGTAATTTCTGCACTACTAGTGTCACAAAAGAGAACTGTATAAATAATTAATGTTTTCAGACCATTGGTCTGATTAAATGATAGCCTGACCCAAAACTCACACCATTGGATGTGCCAATAATACCTGTTTATAAATATTAAACTGCAGGCTAAACATACATTACTGTTTAAAAGTTTGGGGTCCATACGATTTATGTCTCTTATGCATTTATTTGATCAAAAAGGCAGCAAAAAAGTTATATTGTGAAATATTATTACAATTTGAAATGTGGCCTAACTGTTTCTATTTTAATATATTTTGTAATGCAGTTTAATCCTGTGATGGCAAAACTGAATTTTCAGCAGCCTTTTTTTTTTATTTTAAGCTATTATTATTATGGGTTTTTTTTTCTGACACTGAACTTTTGAATGGTAGTAAAAAATATCCTTGCCAAAAAGAACAGAAATAAAAAAAAAATAAATAAATAAAAGAAAGCATTTTACCATTGTAGTTGGGTAGACACACTTCACCTTTAGGTTAACACTGTCCTAACAGGGTGCAATGCAACAAGATTCCAGTGACAGGCAATTTGTCTGTCCACACCAAATGTGAAAATGGGGCGTGACACAACACAATCACACAGCACAGAACAGTTCTCACACTCACAGCACACTGCAGACGAAGAGCTTAGAAAACACTAAGAAAACAAACCTTGTTTTTTCATGCTTGTGAATGGGAAAACTTTGAACCCTCATGTAGAGGATAAAAGCATTTAAGGTTCGCGTTAAGTAGACCAATATTCACAACATTTTATTACATCAACACCACAGCACTAGTTCATCAGTTTGTAAGTCCAAGAAGCTTTTCGTTCATGGATTAGAATAAAGGTCAGATCTACACTAAGCTACCAGCACTTTTTCCATAAAGAAGACTTTAATGCAGTGTTACCATAAACACTGCAGTAATAATTTTTTTTTCTGTCTGGTCTACAATGATCAAAATGTAATGATTTTTGAATTACAAAAAACCTAAAATACATATGTCACAAATCTGTGTTTTCACAAATCAGATGGCATTAAGGAAACATGTTGTAGGGATTCATCTGCTGAGGGACTGTGTATGTATAATTTGTCAGTATGAGGTTCTATATCTCTGAGATCTCTCAGTATTCTTCCTTTGTTCTGTGCTCATTCTGTCTCACAAAACCAGTTCAAAGCTCCACCTTTCATTTCCCTTCTCTTTTGCGCCGTGTTTCAGTGTTTCTTTCCACCCCTCATCCCCTCTCTGCGTCAGCTAAAACAGTGCAAGCCCATGAAGGTGTACAAATCTATCAATATGCGAATCAATTCAACGATCGTCTGCTTTCATCTGAGAGTTTTTTTCAAAGCCAGCGAATCCCTCAAGAAGTCCGATCTGTTTCTCTCTCTGACGAGACACCTCCTCTTATTGAGCCGATCGTCCATCTATCATTCTGATAGACTATTCTTTCATGCTTTTTAGGTCTGTAAAATGTCATTGGTCTTTCATCGTAAGGTGGATGGTTTCTCTCCAGCAAGCTGCGTCTTTTCCATCCGTCTCCGATCCATCAATCAATCAGTCAAAGCCTTCAGTACAGCTATAAGTCATTCGGGGCAGGACTCAGGTCAAGATGTTCACCCACACACTCATTAGAACCTTCCTTTGGAGTTGCCTAATCAGCGTGCCCCAGCGGCCTATCAGTCCAGAGTGTCATCTAAAGGAAACCCAAACAGATTGAGGTCCATTTATCTGTCTATCTCAGATCTTCGGTCCATTGTAAAAATAAGCCTCAGATTAGCTAATTAAAAAAACTCTTGTCTGCTCTCCTCACCAGAGTTCAGCCTGTAAATCTGTCTGAGTTTGACTTAAAAATGCTGCATATCTCAATCTGAAAGATGGCCATCTGGCAGCAAACTACAGTGTCACTGTCCAGAAATGCCAGGTCGATTGAGAACGAAGTTAGAGAGGAACTGAGAGGGGAGAGCAGATGAAAGAAATAGGCAATGAAAGAGAAAGTAGGAGCAAGACATAAACTATAAGGCTTGAGAAGAAAAAGAAGTCAGAAGGGCATATAGCGTGTGGCCTTGGAATCCAGATGGAAAAAGCGTCTTGATGCAAGTGTACATGTCTAGAGGATGGGCATTTGCAAGTGATATGCTGTAATAAAACTACACTGACGCTCTGGGGCATTATGGGCTGTGCATCTGGAAAAAAACTGGAATAGAATAATGTGGTGGTAAAATCCATGCAAGTGACACCAGCATGAAACACGCGGACAACAGAACATGAAACCGGTCTCAGACATTCCATTGACTGCTGCCCAGGTCTCAATCAATATCTCCATGCAGGAAAAGCAATACCCCACACCAGGGACCCCAGCAACCTGTATGGTGGTCACTGTCCAATCACACGCAAGCCAGACGGAATTGCCACAGTCCAATCATGTCATAAAGGCCACAAAAGCCCCTGTCCAATCACACACTAGAGATGAAAACCTATAATAAAATGCAATGATTATATGGATATGTACACGGACACAAAACAACCAGGAAGGTCAGTGTTCAGTGACATCCATCAAAACAGCCATAATTGCATTGCCATTACATACGGAAACATTTGAAGGTTGCAGCTCTGTTTTGTGTCTAGACAATCCACACAACACCCAGACGTCCAATTTCAACCGGAAAGCAGAAAGACTAGATCAGGTCGCTGTGTCATTGAATGACGGACAACAGTAAGCGAATCTAAAGCAGAAGAGATGATTCTCAGATGCGCACTTGACGATGACAGAAAATATAAATAAAATTAGTGCTGTCAAACGATTAATCGCGATTAATCGCATCTAAAAACAAGCTGAAAACACTCTAACTGAAACACCTTTGGTGCTTTTCTATAGTATTAAGCCTCAAATGTTAAATACACATCGGATTGGTTTCCTCTTTAAATTATAAAAAAAAGTAAAAATATGAATGGTATTATAATGTTATAATGCTAACCCTATACTAAAACTAAAACTAAAACAATGGAAAAACCCTTAAGATAACATGTAGAAAGAGAAAAACATATCTTAAGCGTGCAGAATAACATAAGTGGACTTTGAACGATTAATTGCGGCCTTGAACGATTACGTAATTGTGGCATCCATAATTGTGCAGCCCTAATGTATAGGCTACATTTCAGAAAAATATGTTGTTTAAATATTAAATATATTTATTTATAATATAAATTATATAAATATAGACATGTAAATATTTTCAAAATATATACTGTATGTATGTGTATTTATATATACATAATAAATATACACAGAACACACGCATATATTATGCAAACAAAAACTTTTATTTTGCATGCGATTAATCATTTGACAGCACTAAATAAAATCAATAAAAATATTTCAGATTACAACTAAAAACATTTAAAAATGTCACTTTGTAAATTCTGTTTAATCACAAAATTAACATAATCAGTTTGAATCACCTTATAACAAAACAAAGAAGTGTGGATTTCACTACCAACAAGCAAATGCATAATATTTACATTATAAAGTACAAAAGCAAATTTGGTTTAGCTTTTTTGTAGATCGCCAATCATTAATAATCACCTTTTTTGACAATCAGTCAATAAAATGCAATTTGTAAAATGCTGCAAGCGTAATAAAGGTGGCAGGCACAGAGGTGCAGCTTTAATTTAAAAGCAAAGTGTCCTCTAAAAATGGCACACAGATCATCATTTCACATTTATATCAATTCGAATGTGACTAAAAGCGATGATGTCTGAGTGGATGAATCTTTTAACTTGTAATTAGTCTGTCTATTTCCACCAGTTTGATCCATTCAAGCGGATTTGCAGACGTTTTGGCGAGCATGAGCTAGCGTGACAAATGAGGCCGTCCTACAATACAACGGGTCTTAATAACCTCTAAATAACTGCAGCCAGCACTCACAAATGTGTGTCATAAGGCAAGTTACTGACAATGATAATGTTGCTGACTGTTCATACATAAGACACCTGGCATTCACTACATAACTGTCAGGTGTCTTAAGTCGAGATCTGTCAGAAGGGCTGTCCGTCAACACCACAGATCAGCAGCAGTCGCTCAGGTCACTGCCTGTTTCTACAGCAGAGAGCAGATGGGTATGAGGTTCCGTCCTCAGCCCTGAGGTGAAATTATTTAAGCCAAAGAAGAATGGTGCAATTCATTTTGTCCCGCAGGCAATGTCCACTGCCCTATTTAAGTTGACCGGTTTGTAGGCTAATGGTTAAGTTGCTATAAAGTCTGCAAAAGATGACAAATCTCAACATGCCTGGAAGCAGGGTCTTCCATTCTGCTCGCAAAGAATCTGGCATAAGATCCACATGATCAAATATATGCACATCACTCAAACCATACACATTATGCTACATTTGAATGAGGATGCACACTGATAAAACTTTATAGCTAATAAAATGTATCTCCCTTTTTTGTTTGGCAGTCTGCTACAGTATTATGGCTCTTTCTCCAGTCTCAAATCTAATATAAATGTTTTAGTTGCTGTGTAATGTAAATCAGAGGTGTCACTGGATGCTAACCATCTCTGATCTATGTAATCAATCTCCAAATGCAATTAAAAAAATTAAATGTGTATATTTATTCATTTTGCATATAAGATATGCAAGATATAAGGTACATATATATATTGGTAAACAACAAATAATCTTCTCTTCAGAGGCTATACATTCTAACCCTTCTAACAAATCCCTTAAGTATATAAAGTGATGTGTATGTGTATTGTATGCTTTGGCTTAAAGCACCATTGAGATCAACTGAGAATAACAAATGTACATTTTAGGCAAATAGTTTCCACAATTGCCTACCTCCTTTTGAAGTTTTCCCGTCTTTCCTCTTTACTCAATGGAAACCTGCCTCACAACTTCCCTTATTCCCCTTAAATTGATAGATGTGACTGAGACTAATTGTAAAAGAAAAATGATGGCTAATCCTTTTCTTCTCTACTGAGGCAATGAATTTGAACACTTCTATTGACAAGGGATGTAAATCCATTAAGCATAACCAACAGGATATTAGAGTAATTTCTTAATGAAGCCGTTGTGGTTTTTCTTTCTCTCCTTCTTTTTACGTTCCCTTTCTTTCTCACGCTCACTGTATCACCTCCATGCCTGTGGTCTTATCTGCAATGTCATCGGGAGTCTAATCTGCTTTTGTTTTCTGTAAGACTGTTGCTTTAAAAAAATAAAAATAAAAACTGTCGGAAGATAACAGTAATTTTCTTTACCCCTCTGGCTTCAAAGCAAAATGTTTCCAGACTTCCTGCAAAGTGGGAATGAATGAATAAATGATAACAACGCTGTTTTAGTAGACTCGTGTAGCAATTTCTCTTCATCTCCTTCCCTCCAAAAGCCATCGCTCTCTTGCTATTCTAATGCTTTTGTCGACCTGGTACCATTCCGCTCCCTGATCTCATGTTCTTGAAGAGGAAACCAGGCTAAACGGCCTTCAGCGCGGTCACAACCTCTGCTTACGAACACTCAGCCAGATCACTGCGTCATCTCATCGTCTTGCTCATATCTGCCACGATACTGTGAGTTCCTGGACACTTTCTATATCGTCTCCAGTGTCCGGCCAACTCACTGGCCACTAAACACACATCAAAACTGCCCTGCCAACGGCTGCTGTCATTTACACAACCGAACCTCCGCCGCTGGCCAAAGACAGGGGTGATATTACATGGCGCTGTAAAAAAGATACTTTGGGCCTTTGCGGCTTGTGGCTGCAAGCTGAGGTAGCGTAGAGCAAGGAGTTCAGTCCTATTCAAAAAAAGTAAAACCTGTACAAAATGGTGGGAAATGGATCTTGCATTGGATCTCACTTGGTGAAAGTCTGCTTCATGTTACCCTTAGGCCCAGATGGAATCTGCAGGCTTTTTCGGCATGGATTTCAAGAAATTCCGTGGAAAATGTGATAAGCACTAGCTGAAAGCATAATCAAATTAGCCCAAGTAATTAATAAACAAATACGCAAGGGAGGTGGGAAGTTTCTAGAATTTAATGAATGACAAGCGTCCCAGTTCTGAGAAATCTGCAGATTTCATGAGGGCCTGGTTTTCCCCTCCCATCCTCTCTCTCCTCTGCTCCGCTGTCCAGGCCCTCGGAGTATCTAAATTATCTATAACATCACACAGGAAAACACAGGCAAAAGAAAGAGCAGTGAGCGATGCGAGGAACCCTGGGATACTGGTGACGCTGTGTGTCAGCCCTTAAGATTCAGCTCCCACACAGATAGAGCGTAGAGGGAAGCTCTCGGCAGCCCGACAGCCAGGCAACGTCATCACCCGCTCCGTCACATTGTGGGGGGAATTAATCGCCCCCTCATATGGCTTTTACCAATGCCGTTATATGCTGTCAGTGAGCGAAGGAGAGGATTCCTGCGACGGTTCCATATGGATGTATTAATATTTGCATAATTATGGTCCTGTGCTTGATAGAAGCCCATGTAAGCCTGCCTTTGAAGACTGTGGGGAGGGGTGGGGTTTGGAGGGGAAGGAACACTGATAAGGGGTTGAAGAGGAGGGAAGCAGCCTCGTATGTACATTTCACATCCTTTCCTCTTGAATTTCATATGCATATGCAGATTAAGCATGTAGAGTAGGAAATATGGAAGCTAAGAACAGAATTACATAAGTGACAGCGTCTAAGTGACTGATAATCCCTCTATACATTGTTGCACACACATATATGCACATTTGAAAATGCGAGGCCACGATGCTCAGCACATATTCATGCATGCATGATTTTGCAGTAGATAAATGAAGATTACTCAAGCAGCTGAGAGGTTTTTGCACGACGATACCGGACAGACGCGCAGACCTTTACAACACGGGCGCACAAATAGACAGATATATTATGGATAACCTGAACACAACAATCTGTAGAGAGTCTGTGCCGTTCCAAGCAATGCAGATCTTGAACGGAACGACTGTCTACAGCATATCCACACTCTCTCCTCCGAGCTCACATTCATCCAAATATTAATTTTCTAATGCGACGCTTTACAACAGCAACATCATAACATCCGCCCAGCACACCTAAAGACAGATAAAGGCTGAAATACCGCACCTGGGACAGACGGATGCCAAAGGGTAGACCGAGAGGGACAGAGGAGGTGTCTCTCCGCTCCACTCTTCCTCCTCTCTTTCTGTGTTTTCGCCTGTCTTCACAGCCTCGTTTTTTTCTCTCTATTTCACTCTCTGCCCTCCCTCCCTTCTCCCTCCTTCGCCTTGTGCACTGAATACTAAACGAGCCTCGTCTCCGCTCATGGGCTCCAGTGCGCGTGCAGTGCTAACCACATACTGATGGAGAGAGAGAGAGAGAGAGAGAGAGAGAGAGAGAGAATGAATAGGGGTGACAGGCCATCAGAGGCATCTTCTGATGGAGAGAGAGAGAGAGAGAGAGAGAGAGAGAGAGAATGAATACTGGGCAGAGGGGTGAGACCTCATACTTGTATGAAAAAGTTATTCTTTTTCATACAATTAGGCTAGGTTTCAAGGTCTTCAAACGTTTCAGTAAACATAACATTATAGATTATGAGGTGGAGAATTTGATTGACCCCAGTGTCGCGAATCTTACTGCATTCAATAAAAAAAGATTCGTTCAATAGTTCGGTCACTCTTTTTTGCAGGTTACATTGCTGAGCCAGTAGGTGGCAATACCGTCAGTCTTTTTGTTTGTTATGAGGGAGTCACTCACTGAATCATTCACTCAACCGATTCATTCACATTATAAGCAAATTGTATTAGAATTTGGGCCTACAGATCTACTAAGAGGCTCCAGAATGAATGTTTAAGCATTATAAGCGTTTTCTCCACACATGACAACAAACCGTCGTCCTTCATTTAATTACTCAATGGATTAAAGACAATGAAAGCCTAAATAAATCATGCTTTTCAGTAATTCCCTGCTGAAAAAAACAAGCAAACAAACAAAACAAAAACAATAGAAACCATCACAGAATTTGTAGCCTAATGGTTTTACTGGTTATAATGGGTTGGAAACTCTAATGGTCCCTGTGGGTCTCTACTGGTAATTAATCATTTTCTATTGGTGGCTTGTTAAAACCACTAAATCATAATGGAAAATGTCCCAAAACACACTACAGGAAAATATTTTTTTAATAGTTTTTATTTCGTTGGTGGTTTGTAGTGTTATTTGTAGTGGAAATCAACAGAATTTCTGTGATGGTTTCTATTGTTTTTTTGTTTGTTTGTTTGTTCATTTTAATTGAGTGTGGTCATAAGTTATTTTTTCAAACAATTCTTACACCGCCCTTCTCTTCATGTTGTGAAAAAGATTGACGGACATAGCGAACCAAATGAGTGACATACCCCCTGTTCAGTCTGTCAGATGGTCAATGTCAACAAACAAACTATCCCAATTCATTTACTTCTTGAAGGCAGGAAAACAGTCAAGCACTGCAAAAAAGAAGAAAAACATAAGAGATTAAAAATAGGAGTGACTGCGTGAGAGCAATTATGGGTCGCTCAAAATATTTGTTTAAATACACCACTAGTCAGTGCATCTATTTTCACGTGTTGACATTTTGGTTTTGGTCTGATTCTAGTTGGATAGGTAACCACACAACAGTAAGCAGTTTGCATAACTGTAAATCACAAATATATCACAAAACGTTTTGTAGTGTTTTGTTTTAAAATACTTTTAGACATATGTTTAGCTAACTGTGCAAAACCTAGAAAGACTGGTCTGGCCCACTAAAAATATAATACATTAGTAGATGTTTAAAATTCTTTTCCCCTCTAAAATAGTCAACCCCATGAAAGTCACTGTATAATTGACACACTGATATGGGATTATCCTGTCAGTCTAATTTATATAATACCCCTGTATTATATAAATTAGACTGACAGGCTAATCTCCTATATTTGGACTCATTAACTACAACAGTTCCTATGTAATTATTTAAGATGGGATAATAAACGTAGTTATTAATATATACAACTCATAGCCAAGGGCACTTTTGTGATCAGATCAAAATTAGTTTAGGTACAGCATAACCTGAGCATATGCAAATCACTCTGTGTAAACTGTCCAACATTACAGTCCTCCAGGGGCATTACTATAGACACTATGAATAATCATTACTAAAGGTGCTACTGTATAATCCTACTAATAAAGAAATATGAGCATCTGTTAACACACAATGAATACAAATGTCCATACAGTGCACTACTAATCTGAGATTATTAAAAGATATCGTGAACATACTGGTCATATTCCGTCATCAATGAGATGATGACTGGATCTCACACATGTACAGCTGCACTGGTAATTCATACAGTGTGAAGCAAAGGACGCCTGTGCCATGAAATCCTTCGTTTTGACACTATATAGAACTGCAAATAGTCAATTCAGAAGTGCAGAACTCTTTTTATACAATAGTAGCAGCTGTTACAGTAACTGTTTATCTGTCATTATGAATCCAGGTAATCAAGCTGTTTCAGAAACATGAGTGCCTCCTGATGATTTATGTTCTATCGTATAGAGTATTGATGAGGATTCTGTTGAAATAAAAGGCACGTAGAGAAGTAGCCTAAAGCACAGAGCACGATGATTGGGGCATAAATGAGCATAAACAGCTGCCTCTGCTAACTGTCAGAGCAGTGCACACTGAGAGACAGAGGGAGACAACAGGAGAGGACAGGGCAGAGAGAGTGAGAGAGCACAGCAGCAAGGCTATCAAGAGAAAAAGAGGGAGGGAGAGGGCAGACTTAAAGACAGACTAAAAGAGAGAGAGGCAGGTTAGAGAGAAGAGGAGATCTGAGACAAAAAAGGGTTCAGAGAGAGGAAACTGAAAGCTTGGCCTCAGGCGGCAGCCGCTGTCCTTACTGAGTTCGTGTCACTGAGGGAACATGTACTGGCACAGCTCCTGTTTCCTACCAGGAAATTATATTTACTCATGCACACAGAGATGTACATATTCTTGGACACTCATTTCTGGCAGAGGAAATGCTACGATTCAGCTGTGGAGAGGTTTTCACTAATCGAGGTGTTGCCCAAAATAATGAGCCCATGAAGAGCTGCACAATGTGATTTACACAAGTAGGAATTGTTCCTGGATATTCTTATTCAGACACAGGTACAAAATAGCCTGGACCCAAATGACTGTCATGACATTCTGTTCCAACTGTTTTTCAGTGTCTACATTCTTACACCAATGCTGCTCAACCAGTGTATGATTCACCAATGAATAACTTTCGTGATTCTGACTCTTTTGAGCCAGTTCATTTTAATGAATGAATCAAAAAGACTACTGAATGCATGAGTTCACATATGAACCATGTCTAACGATTCATTTATTGCATGAATCGTCCTTCAAGTACGAAAGAAATATGACTCCACCCAGTAATGTTTTTTTGTATTAATTGCAAGTAATTGACTTAATTGTTCAAAAGAGACTCAAATCAGTCTTAGACACATGACTTCTTCATATGTACAACTCATGAATCAGTCTAATGACTCATTCATTAAATAAACTGGTAATGTCTTTTAAGTGACTCTTTTAAGTCGGTTCTTTTAAATGAGTTATAATGAGTTATTTAGAATTTATATTTGAACCTGTCTAATAACTCATTCACTGACAGAATATGTCTTTGTGTGTTAAATGAATCAGTCTTTTAGGCCAATTTATTTACAAAAAACTGACTTCAAATATTTAGAATCACAGATTATTTTAAGTCTGTTCTTTTTGATTAATTGGCCAAAAATACTTAAATAATCTGCCCTGGAATCTTGAGGTATGAAAATTTGCATAGTACTCATATTAATCAGTCTAATGAATCATTCACTGACTGAATTGGCCTACTCTTTTAAGTTAGTTCTCTTTTAATGAGGCCCGTTCACACCAAGCACGATAACTATAAAGATAATGATAAAGATATAGTTCTAAAAATCATTCTCAATATGAAAGAATAGCAGAGTCCACACCACAGCTGTAACGATAAAGACAAAGAAAAACGATATACTTGGAATCACTTTCAAAACTATTTTTTTCCAGCTGATGAACGATAAAATCATTGACACCCAATCAGAATCCATCATGCTATCACGAGCTGGAGAATTTAAAGCAGCAGACAAGCATACACTTAGAATAAACAGACGATATTGTTCACTGGTGTGGATGCTAATATCGTTATCTTTATAGTTATCTTTATAGTTATCGTTCTTGGTGTGAATGCGCCTTTATTCACCATTCCAATTACTTAAAGGGGTCATATGATGCTATTTTAAAGATCATTATTTTGTGTATTTGGTGTAACAGAATATATTGACATGCTTTAATGTTCAAAAAACACATTATTTTTCAAATACTGTACATTATTGTAGGTCCTCTATGCCCCGCCTCTCTCAAACACGTCGTTTTCAACAAAGCCCCCTCCTCTGACAAGCGCAGTCTGCTCTGATTGGCCAGCTGACCCAGTGCATTGTGATTGGCCGAACACCACAAGCACGCGTCAGAAATGTAATGCCCCTTACCATAATCGCGAAAGGAAAAATTGAAATAGCATCATATGACCCCTTTAACATTACAGATTTGTTTACTACTTAAAGAAGTCTGATTCAATCAGTGAATGAGTCATTTGACTTAAAAGAATCAGAATCGCCTTCCAGATTCATTTAACAAATAAAGACAGATTCGGTCAATGAATGGGTCATATACAAATTCTATATTCCCATAATCCCCATCACTATTCCTGGATCAACATCCTTTGTTGCTAATGGAACAAGATTACTGTCAACCAATACAGCCACAACACTACCTCTAAAATCAGAGAGCAATAAATGGGTGATGTTGATCCAAGAACATGCCCTACTTGTGTGAATCGTGTTAAGCGTGAAGAGCCATCTAAAGTGACGTTTGCACTTATTTTTATCTATTTTGACTCCTGACTCTCTGTCTGCAAAATCTTGCACCAGACTTGAGAGGTACAGCAAGGTGGCGCACCGTGAAAATACTGATAATGTCTCAAGCCTCAGCGCCCAAGTTCACCTCTCATCCGCAACAGTTGGTCTGCCCTCTTTCACTGGATTGCTCCCTTTTGAGTTCTCCATTTTATTTTGTTACCATGACAACCATCTCTAAGTGAGTCTCCCACATCTCTCATTCCCTTTCCTCTTTAATTTTTTACTTTCCTTGCAGTGACTTTCATCTTTCTGTCTTCTCGACTCATTCCACTCTTTCTTGCACCATCACTGTGACTCTCAGTTTTCCACTCTTCAGGCTCACCCCCATTTTTTCTCTTTCTCACCACTGTAAT